TTGAATACCATCGGTGGGATCCGATGTTGGTGAGGCAGCTCGACATTAAACTGAATGACGAAGATGGTGACAACCAAGTCGAGACGGATGCCCTGGACTTGGAAGATCATTGGAGACGACTGGTGAGAAAGTGGCCAGATCCTAAAGTGGATTTCCTAGGCGAGCCTAGCATCTTAACGGATACCGATGTGGTCTTATTAAGAGAACAAATCCGGATCCCGCCCTCGGTGAAGATATTCGCGCCTTATCCGGGGGAGAGGATAACCTACCCTCCTCTGGAATGTGTTGGTGTTTTTGCGGAAGCTTGAGGTCAAGATTACGATTTTCATTGCCGAGTTTGATTACAGAGTACCTCCATAGTTAGGGGTTACCTCTGTGTCAAATAACACCGAACAGCTGGAAGAAGATCATCGGGTTAATGGTCTTGTTGAATGAAAGAGGTGAGAGCCTCCCGTCGTGCGACGACAGTAGGAGTATTTATGCCTTTAAGAGGAGTCCAAGCTGGAGGGTTGCAGAGACCTCGTGCTGCTTTTTTGCCAGAGCGAAGCCTCAACACGACCTTAAGGTCGGAGAAATAATCACCGACATCCCTTAGACCCTTCACGGTTTTCAGGAAGAATGGCTGTGGATCGGCGGAGAATGGCAGTCTGATAGCTTTTTCCATGAACCTCGGATTCATGGGATGACAATACCAATGAATATTCATTCCAGCAATAGTAAGTTCATTGTATCATTCTTTTTGAATATTTCCTGACGTAAAGTCGTTTTGTGTACTAACAGGTTGGAACTTTTCATATGTGTAGAGAAAAAACCGAAGCAAAAAGAGCCAAAGCTTAGTTCGTAATTCGGTGGTAAGTTGCTTGTGCTTGTAGACCTTGACGAGGACCTTCGCAATTATAAGAGACTGGTGCTTGATACAAAACTTGAAGCTGTCGGCCTATCTCTTGGAGTTTCAACACCCGCATTTGATCCAAGTAAGAGAAGTTGACCTGTTATACTTAATTTGGACTTCGGAATATTTAGAATGATTGTAGCTGACTCTGTAAATTTTTATTTGTGCAGTATACTATCCGTTGCTCGGGTTTTCTGGTTACCCAACTGTCAAAGACACTAAAGAGTTTAGACGTTGTTTTTCGAACAAGGATCTTCAGTCAAAGTTCGGTAATAGTCGGGATTTAAGATTAACTGACGCCATGAGGAGAGATTTGGTGAGAGCCTTGGTGAAGAGAACTGCCGGACGAAAGTCTACCGATGTTGGAGCTGGTGCGATGTCGACAATTGACTTAGAGATCCCAAAATCTCATCAAGATGAGGCGTCTTCGGAAGTCTCGCCAGTTATCAATGCAGCGGCCATTAAACAAGCCGAGCCAGAAGAAAATCCAGCGAGAACGAGTTGGCTTTGGCGGAGCAAGCGCAACCCGAGGTGCCAACTGAAGAGCCAGAAAGGCAGCTGTCCACTCCAAAATCTCTCGAAGTTTCTCAACCGAAGAAGAAGAAGAAGAGAAAGTTGGTCAAGATGTCTGCCGAAGAAGGTCCCACTGCTGCAGAGGAAAGGTCAAAGAAAAGACATGACTTCGGCCGGCGGGATAAGAGAAAGAACACCGATGAGTCCTCTTTGTTCGAGAAGTCCTTTCTGTCCATCGATGAAGAAAGGGTGGTGAATTTGAATATTCCCAAAGGAGTTGTTGAAGACTGGTTCACGACTTTTCAGTGGTGAAGATTTCCTACATGTCCTCTAGGATCGGGATACCGAAAAACGCCAAAAATGCTGCCCGAGTTCCTCTGATGGCATGGGACCCGAAATCTGAGGTTGGGGTATCGTCTTTGTCCAGCGTACATAAGCTTAATTACGCTAAGGCTTGCATGGGTTGAGCCTTAGTTAGCTTGGTGGCCGCGGAGGATGATCACAGTCGGGTACTTGTTCACCTTGAAGAGAAAGGAACACGGTGGCCTTGCGAGATGGGACCATCACGTCGTTGCGAGAGGAGGCTACAAAGTCGGAATTTGACTGAAAAGAAAAGATTGCTGACCAAGGTGTGCAAATTGAGGTGGCTCAGAAGGAAGTCGTTGTTATGACCGACGAGAATAAAATTTTGAAATCCGAGGTCGAGGAACT